TGCTCATGTGACCTTTATGGTCCTAGGATCACTTATGAGAAATGTTACTATATTGCATTTTAATATGATGATGATTTAGCTTTGCCCTATGGTGAATCACAACCAGGAACTAATGTTTGTGAAGTGTCTCCATTAGCATTTATTTACAGTTGTGTTAGCAAGCAATTTACACGCGTTACAACACAGCCAAAAACTCTAGTCTTAGAACCAGGGCTTTGTGTCTCAGGTTCTAAAATGGGGGCAATAATACTTAGTAAGGTTATGAGGCTAAATTCAGCATTGTTTATAAAGTATGTTTCATAACCTGGGATGGAAGATGCTAGAGAAGTTCAAAGTAGTACTGTTATATTAATTTCAAAGACAAACAGCATATTTAATTGTGTGTGTATGTGTATGTATGTGCGTGCGCTTTATATAGCAGGAGAACAGAGATCCAGAGGAAGCTTTCAGGTTATGGCTTAAAAAAAAGCACCAAGATCAAATGAAAGAAAAACAAATGGAAATCCTTAGACGCCAGGAAGAGTGCCTGTACTTCCTTCCAAGAACAGAGGAATGTGACAGAGCCTTTAAACAGTAAGTCTATGGCTCTTATTTTCTACGGAGCAAGGAAATCTGAATGTTGTGTCTTTCAGCAACTTAAATTATAAAATGTATTTTATAATGCAACTTTATTTGTTAAGCATCTGTTATGAAAGCTACATTTCAAAATGTTTGAAAGGGAAACATATTTTGAATGAAGTGAATTATAGTGGCTGGGAAAGAAGTTAAGAGGAGGTTTTCAGCAAAGATTTGAGAACTAGCCTCCCCTTTGTTCCTATGGGTGTAAGAGCCTTCTTCTGTGTTGTTCCTAACATCTGGTACAGCCTCACTCTTTCTGCCTCATTGATGCTCACTCTTCTTCCAAATTTCTCCTTTAAAACCTCTCAATTTCTTTTTCCCTGTCATTATTTAATGCAAGTATTTTGGGGTGCTGTTTGTATGAAAAATCTACAAAATAAGGCTGTTTTATACTATAGCTTCTAGCTAAGGTGCACAACCCAGTGCTGAGTGACTTTCACCTAGTAAAGAAAGTCCAGCTAATGTTTAAAGCAATTAAAATATCTAGATCTGATGCTGGCTGAAAATCCCTTTACTATTTTAGTTTCTCTAAACCAGAAAGCAAGATGTTGTGAAAAACATAGCTTACTGTCTAATTTTTAACCTTTGTAAAGTATGTGGGGGACACTCTTCCTCAGAATTGAAGGCAGAACTGGCCTATCAGATGTGCCATCCTTTGATCACAGAAATGGCGTCCTTTACATTCTTCAGACAATGAAAACTATATCCCTTTTAAGCCCTGATGTTTTGGGGGGCCTGCAGTCTGAATATCCACAGATGCCTAGGGCCAGTCCTGACTAGAGTCTGGTGAACTCACTTTCAGTTCCTCTGACCCTCCTCCCAACTGTATTGTACTCCTTCAATTGAAGCTTTCAGCCAGTGCCCTCCCCAGCCCCCTCCCAACATCATCAATTCCTGCTGGTTCCCAGCCTGCTGATCAAGGTGCGACCCCATAGTAGGAAGTTGTATTGGGAACATAGGCTGTAGATCAGTAAAGGTTTCTGGAAACGGGACTGCATTTGCTTCAGGCAAAGGTCCCACTCTTCCTTCTCACTGCTGACACTCTTGTAGACCTGTCCCACTAGTTTCCCCGATATGCTTTGACCCTAGAAAACAATTAATTCCTGGATGTAGCCTGTTTGCTAAGTGATGCAGTGGCTTTAGTTAACTTTCCCCATTAAGAGAACAGTTGTCTGCTTTGAATACAGCCAGAAGTGATGGCCAGTGAGTGGTCAAAAGCTTTTTTTAATCACTATCAGTGCTTCCAAACTTGTTTTTCTCCACAGATGGATAAAAAGAAAGAGACAGGAAAAGCGAGCAGAGGAACTGGCTGCCAAAGAGCGATCGAGGCAACTTAGGCTAGAAGCCAGAAGAGCAAAACAAATCCAGAATATCCTCTGCACCATTTCTGAACCTAAATCCTTCCGCTTCACAGACCATTACAGCTGAAGGTTTGATGTGTCTCGAATATTAGTGTCAGCTGACATACCTATTATGGCTAGAGCTGCAGTTCTTGACAGCCAGTGCCCTTTTATGGTATTTGAAAATCTTTAAATAATGGTTTAAAAATTTTCTCTTAACTGACAATACATTTACTACTTACCATTTATTTATTTATTTATTTAGAATTTGAAATGACAAACCTGATTCTGTTGTGTGTATGACTCAGCAGTGCTCTCAATCCCACTGAGCCAAAGTGAGAATAAATATTCATATAGCTGTGGCAAGTTTGCTTTGCTTTAGTTGTTTGGTATGTTCACGCAGGGGACAGTGTACCCTATATTTATCTTCGAAGAGACCACAATGGACAAAGTGACATCTCACAGTAGAGTCACTATTTCATTCTTAAAAGGAAAGGAGTACTTGTGGCACCTTAGAGACTAACCAATTTATTTGAGCATGAGCTTTCGTGAGCTACAGCTCACTTCATCAGATGTTTACCGTGGAAACTGCAGCAGACTTTATATACACACAGAGAATATGAAACAATACCTCCTCCCACCCCACTGTCCTGCTGGTAATAGCTTATCTAAAGTGATCAACAGGTGGGCCATTTCCAGCACAAATCCAGGTTTTCTCACCCTCCACCCCCCACACAAATTCACTCTCCTGCTGGTGCTAGCCCATCCAAAGTGACAACTCTTTGCATAATCAAGTCGGGCTATTTCCTGCATAGATCAAGGTTTTCTCACATCCCCCCCACCCCCATACACACACAAACTCATTAATTTGAGAGTTTTGCAAGGGTGCTTTAATTTGTTCCATGGCTGGTTGTGCAAGAGGTTCAGACTACATTGATCAGTGTTCCTTCTCTTCTACCTTTAGAATCTATTAATCTAATTCCGGGGTGGCCAGCCTGAGAAGGGGCCAGAATTTACCAATGTACATTGCCAAAGAGCCACAGTAATATGTCAGCAGCCCCTCATCAGCTCCCCCCCTGCTCCCAGGATCTCCTGCCTACTGGCAGCCCTGCTGATCAGCTGTTTTGTAGCATGCAGGAGGCTCGGGAGGGGAGGGGAGAAGAGCGAGGGGATGAGAAGGGGTGGAGTGGGGGCAGGGCCTGTGGCAGAACCAGGGGTTGATCAGTGATCAGTGAGCATTGGAAAGTTGGCAACTGTAGCTCCAGCCTGGGGGTTGGTGTCTATACAAGGAGCTGCATATTAACTTCTGAAGAGCAACATGTGGCTCCAGAGCTACAGGTTGGCCACCCGAATCTAATTGTTAAAGCAGACCAAGCTGGTACAACTTTGGCTCTAATTTCTGTGTCCCTGTCTTGATAATCTAAAAGTCATGCTGTTCATTCCACCATCAATGTAGGAATGGCTGTATTTATTTTTTTTAAAGAGTAAATATGAACCATTTTTCAAACAGTTTCAACTGATTTCATTCGAGTTCTTTGCCCACACCTTTAGTGAGCACATAAGTATTCATGCTCACAAGTGGTATGGGCTTTACAGTTTTTAGCCTGGTCTACACTACACTATTTAATGTAACCTACTATTAACTGGCTGGCTCTAAACATGGTGTGTATCCATACCCAATACAGTTAACTCTTAATAACAGTGTTTCAAGCCTTGCATACACAGAACATGGGTCTTTCTGCAACCAAGTCATAGCTGTCCTGTTGAGTAGAGGGGTTCCTCTACACACACTAACTATGCCTTTGTAACCTGTTTCACTGGTCTGTCTTCCTTTAAGCCACCTAGAGTGCAGTTGGGTGCTCTGACTGAGGAATTATAGGATGATCATCTAGATTTCCAAAAATGGACCGCTGCATGTGTGGCTAGGAAGTATAGTTGGTTTGAGACACGTGTTGAAGACCTGTTTAGTAGACACAGCACAACTGTGTGTTAACTAATTAAAACAAAGTTATTGTTAAAGCCTTTAGGTGTGTCTGCCATAATACAGGAAAAGTTCCTAAAGCACCATTTAATTTGCTATACTAGCTAAGACTTAACGGGAGTTGATTATTCCAGTAGGAAAAAAGTTAGGCTTATTCTTTTCCTGCTTAAAATGCAAGGCTTCAAAGTGTAACTGACTTATGCAGCTTTAAAATTGTTTAAGTGGTAGGGGAAGAGTTAAAGAATCTAACAGTTCGTTTAATGATGGTGAAAAATGCCATAGTGATAGAACTAGAGCCTCCTTTCACAAAGGTAATTCATATTCCCTGTCCACGTTCCCCTCCTTCTCAGTAGTGACAGACTTGGACCTGAGGAGCTAGTGGAAGGAACTGAGGCAGTCTGCATGCCATGCTTCCTTTTTATTGCAGGGAGGAGAACAGGGCATAAGAGCATTTGAATGGGCACTGCTATTAGAAGTCACAAAAGTGTGACACTGCGGAGGTCATCTTGAACTCTGGTTACAAGTGACCAACCTTTGTTTATTCTCCCCGCTACGATACGCTGACAAATTAAGATCTGTTTAAGTGTTTTCCCAACCTGCAAGGGGTGGAGAGAGGAATTTCTATCCCCATGAGGTTCACCAGGGCACAAAAGCTAATGCCCATCAGTTAGCTTTCTTGTAACTCCTGCAGAGTTCAATCTTATTTCTTACGCTGTTTTCACACTACCGCGGTTAAGTTGACCTACTCTACGCAACTCCAGCTACATGAATAATGTAGCTGGAGTCTACGTACCTTAGGTCAAGTTACCCAGGGTCTACGGGAGAAAATCTCCCATCGACTTACCTTACTCTTCTCATTGGGAGTGGAGTACAGGGGTCAACTGCAAAGCGATCTGCACTCAATTTGGTTGGTCTTTACTAGACCTGCTAAATTGACTGCTGCTGGATTGATCTCAGAGCGTCAGTCCTGGCTGTAGTGTAGACTTGCCCTTAGATTCTGCAAAGAATGTGTGGAATCAAAGACTGTCACAAGTATACAAAATCCAAACCTTCATTCATGATAAAAGTAGGTAGAGAATGTTTATTGTAACATATTAATTGCAGAGGCCAAAGCATGGCCAAGAGTAGCAGTCAAAAACTTATGCCTTTTATACCTGGTGTACAGTACTAGATTTACCAAAAAAAGTGTTAGTGACTGGTTTAGAGACCTTTTCCTTAATTACATAGCATGGCTATGGATACTGTGTCTGTTGGGGGTGGCAGGATACTGGAGTGCTGCAAGATATCAGCATGATTTTTCTATGAATATGACTTTTGTTCAAAAAGAGCTCAAAAGCTCACTAACATATGGTGGAAGACTCATATCCTGTCTAACTTGTAAATAAGCAAGCAGAGAAGAACCTTGCAAGCTGTCTTCTTGGGCGGTATTTGGCAGGCTGGTTACTAGTACATACTTTGAATTTGTCTCATTAACCTAATAAAGCCAGATGAGTAAAAATATAGTATGCTCTGTCACTACTTATGCATACATAGTATTTGACGATGCAGGCCCTTCCACGGGTATAATACCTATGAAAGATTTTCATGTGTAGTATCTTGCCTCTAAGCATAGGGTAAGTTTCAGTTTTTAAAACTATGCACTAAAGGAGCTATGTCCATCTTTGCTGCATCAGCTAGGCAGCAGCTTGGTTCTAGGAGTTAAAATGCTTCTAATCCACTTGTTTCAACCTCATGTACACACAGAAATAACTTTGTCATGCACATTAGGTTCCATACTCCATTCAGCACCAACACCTTCCAATTTCATTCAAGTTTCTTCTTAAAGAGGCTTCTCTACCCTTTTCCATCAAGGTAAGGGCCCTGCTGCCCCCTTCTGAACTTGAAGGCCCATAATATTAATTGCACCTGATCCTTTAACTTAATTAGGACTATAAATACTTGACCATAGCACCACAGCAAACTGAGTAACACTACAGAGAAAAATTAAACCGCATAGAAATGATTGTGCTTTCTATTGCCCTTTTTAAAATGAAAATACTTAAATAATAAATCAATGTTTCTTACTTTAGCATTTATTTCAACTCCCTTTTAAAGGAAGCACTATTCAGAGGTTTCAAGTGGATGCATCACTTGTCTATGTTCCTAAATAGTTTCATGGTTTTGTCTTCCCCTGTGCAGAAATCCATTAAGGTTTCATAATATTATTACAAATCCTACACATCTAAGGAGCTATTTACACTATAAATTGTGTAAATTTATGTTGTAACATTTTGGTCTTGCCCTTGTAGATGGGAGCATTAACCATATTCCAGCCTTGTAGAAGCTATGATCTCACCACAGATTGTAGATGGTCCCTAAGCATGAGAGGTATAGGAAGTAAAAAGTACATTGTTTCTAGCATAACAAACCCCCAGGAAGATAATAGCAAAGAAGGAAATCCAAATGGATAAATCACTAGTGTCATTCAGCAAAAAGTTAGCATATCTACAGACACACTGGCTTTTTGTCTTCAGCACAATGATTTTAAAGGGCTATCAGTTCTCCCTGGCAGTGATTGCAGCAGTTGAAAGTTATATTTTCATATCTGGTGTATGGGTGAAACCGACCAATGTTCTTCTTTGTGGAAAGGAAGGAGGGTGGGGAAGGCTCAGAAAAGGGAACTTCTGGTGATGCTTCAGTACAGGCAACTGGATCCAACACTCGCAGCACCTAAAAGAGAACTTTAGTATCAGACATGAACTGGATTTTATTTAATCCAAGATGCTTTATCCCTAACTTGAATTTACATACAATTGGTGGCTGCTGTTGAGGTGAATGGTAAATTTTATCAATCCTCATACCTTGGTCAGTTTTTACCTTGAACTGTAATTCTTAACATTGAGTAACTTCATATTGCAATGAAAATAGATTCACAAATTTGGAATCCCTTCAGCAGAACTAAGGTAACTTTTTTTAAAAGGCTACAATTAAATTCATTACAAAAAGGGAAGATTAGAGGTTAAGAAAAGAGTGACCTCTGAACTAATCAAAGATATTTGCAAACATGCTAGAGTCCAGCAATATGCCACCACTATGTGCACAGTGCTTTGTGCCTTCAGCTGCTTGATAAGCATACTGATAGGCACCTAGTACACTCCCAGGGGTGGTTCAGTTCTAATGGAGGATAGCTTAGTTTTAAAATAGGTATTTTGGGGCAGTTTTATGCATGGGATACTCCTCCTATAGAAATGGTTCATACTACAATGATGATCAAACACTAAAGGGAAAGGTTAAATACTTTCTCTACTACTTTTATTATCTTCCCCAATTTTCCTTCCGCCTGTACTTACAGTAACTGGATTTTTTTTGGGGGGGGAGGAGAGCTTGCTTTGAAAATGGTATGGATTTTGCCTCCCGGCCCCACCTCCCTTCTCTTAGTCATCCTTTCCCCTCTCCCTCCTACTTCTCAAGTTGAGGCTCCCTGGTTAGTTCCCTAGCCTAAAATTAAATGTTGTCCCAATCACTTCTGGAGTGCAGCAGGTAGGCTGGGCGGGGAAGCAGTACTTTCCCTTTAAAGTCTTCCTGCTGGTTATTCCAGCCCAGCTGCTCATTGTCTCTGGAGAATTCACTCATCTACATCTTCATTAAAACTCTACTGTACTGACCATTTATTAGGTCATTTGTTTCAGTTTTAATGTTCTAATCTCCTTGCCCTAATATAAAGCCATTTATTGTGAAATTGAATTCCCAGTCTTCAGGTATGCCCCAAAACCTGGCAGGGATACAGTCTCAAGTCCAGACTATATACTGGGGGAAAAAAAATTTATTATAGCCAAAGTCTAAGAGAAAAGGAGGGAGAAAAAAATCCTACTGCAGTTTCCTGGAACATGAGGAAGACAAAGAACAGAGTCCTCTATGCATGATCACCGTGCAGCTCTAAATAAGTGGTACAGAGATTAGACACTATACTAAGGGGTGCTACTGAACAGATATACAGTGGTGGTGTAGGCTACCTCCTGGTGCTCTGGGGAAAGTGTGGGGATGTGAGTTTTTCTAGTTTTTAAATATTTGCTTAGGGAACAGTCTTTTAGATCAGATGTACCGAAAAAGCTCTCTATTGCCCATGCACTTTACTCTCACTCTAGATTGTAATTAGTTCTCATGCACCAGAAAGTTGCCTTTCCTGGAAGTGAACTGGAAGCTGCACCTATGCAGTGCTGATAGTGGCACAAACTGGGAGCAATAGTAAGGGTTTTACCATTTCAGCCATTTTCTCAGCAGGAGTGTTGCAGAACTCTGTTGGTGGGGAAGCCTTTTTTGGAGTGTTAGTGCCAACATTTCCAAGAAGGTGGGAGCTCACTGCTTTAGCCAGTTTATGGTTCACTGCTGCTAGCTCTGCTGTAGTGTGGGTTTGAGCACTAGGATAATAAGTCTGCTGCCTCCCCCACTGTAGAGAAACCAGCAGCTCTTCTAACAATCTGTTCAGGGGAAAATTGAATTGTTATAGTAATGAGTAAATTATACAGTGCAATCAGTGTGCATGGTGCTGTACAAATAGGCCATCTTGCCCCAAGGAACTTACGATTCAAATCAGACAAGGGATATAAAAACATTCAAGGAAACATACAAATAAGAATTAAATATTGAAACAAGATTAGGACACATGGCCATTCACCAGACTGTAGCACAGTAATAAAATACAAGGCTTGAGGAGCCCATCATGATTAGAGTATTTGGCGACAAGTGGTGGACTCAGAGTCAGGAAGACTGCGGTCCCCTACATTATCTTTTGCTGACTGATAAATCTCAACCCTCACCTAGGGCTAACAACTCTTTTGGGTGAAGTTCAACTGATATGGCTCCTTCGATCCTCAACCCTTCTTCTGAGAGACAGGGCTCCATGCACAGCAATCACAACAATGTTTTTTGTAAATACTTATCTACCAGGAATAGTGTTGAGAATTGATTCTAGGTCAGAAGACTACCTAACTGAGACCACAGTAATAAAAAATGCACAGAATAACATTTAGGGCAGGAAAACAAAAAGAATGTAAAGAGTAATCATACTTCTGTGTATCAATCATTTCTTGACGGAACTGGTCACGTTCACTCAACAGATCCTGAATTGCACTCTGTGCATCCCGGGTTTGGCGCTGAAGAATTGCTCTGGCATTGGTTAGCTCATCAGCCATGACTCTGCAAAAGAGAAAATCCCCAAATAAATCAGCTACTTTTAACAGGCAATTTAGAAATCTAAGAGTTAGTTTTCACTTTTGGTTCTGTTGCAGATATAGTTTTAGCAGATCAAATACTTCAAGGATTAAGAGCAGTCAATTAAAACTGATGCATACCTGGCTTTTTTTTAAAAAAAAACTAGGAATAGGAAATGTTTTGTAATAAGGAGGCCTTTTGGGGCTCATAGGGGAAGCCGCATGGCACACTGGATGATATGAGCAAGGTTGTAAGGATCAAACCAACACAAATATCAGAAAAAAGGACCATCAGCAAGGCACAGTTGCTTCCTTCCCTCTACTCTCAACTGTGGGATCAAGAAATGCAGTTGTTTTCTTACCAGGGCTTAGTTAGGAAGAGGAGATGAAGATAAGAATGGTCATACTGGGTCAAACCAATGGTCCATCTAGCCCAATATCTTGTCTGACAGTGCCCAGTGCTGGGTGATTCCAGCAATTGGAGGTTGAGGGACACACTTCTGCATCCCTGACCCTATTGGCTAATATCCATTGATGGACCTATACTCCAGGAATTTATCTAATTTTTTTTTAAACACATTTATACTTTGGGCCTTCACAACATCCCATGGCAACAAATTCCACTGGCTGACTGCGTGTTGTGTGAAGAAATACTTGCTTTGGTTTGTTTTAACAATGCTTGCTGCCTATTAAATTCATTGGGTGCCCCTTGGTGGTTGTATTATGTGAAGGGATAAATAACACTTCCTTATTCACTTTCTCCACACCATCCACAATTTTATAGACCTATCATATCTGCCTTAGTCCTCTCTTCTAAGCTGAACAGTGCCAACTTTTTGGATCTCTTCTTGTATGGAAGTTGTTCCATCCCCCTAATCATTTTTATTGCCCTTCTCTGCACCTTTTCCAATTCTAATATTTTTTTTTAGATAGAGCGACCAGAATGACAAACACTATTCGAATGGGTGCACCATGGATTTATATAGTGGCATTAAATTTTGTTTTATTATCTATGTTCTATAATAATCTAAAAAGAGAGACTTTTTTGGGGGGAGAGGGAGCTATGGAAGGCACCCTGGAAAATGCTCCCTGAGTGACTCCCAAAGGCTAAATTAAGTGATTTTTTTTGGACCTTTTTGTTGTTGCATAAATTCACTTGTTATTTTGAGTTGGATATACATTTGATTGTTACTTGAAAAAAGGGCATTTCCGGGAGCTGAGACTTTATTTTATTAAAATTTGTTACAGACCACTCTGAATAAATGCAATCCAGGAAGAGGGATTCTTGTGTTAGCCAGTGCAGATTATTTTTAGTTTCTATTTGTTTGGCACAACCCTCGAGCCTCTTACATGTCTCTAATACAGAATGTGCAGATTCACAGTAAGTGATTGTTTAAACTCAGTCTCAAAACGCCCAGTGTGTGTTGTTTGATTAAAAAAAACAGGAAGTGTCTTAAATTTTTTATAAAAAATGTGTTTTGGGACAAGTTAATGCTGTTGACAAATGTCATAAGTAACAGCACTGGAGAATAAAGTCTTCCTTTACCAAAGAGCAGGTAAAGCAAGGAACAGTGACTGCACAGGCTGCCTCATTAATATGCCTCAAGCCTGGCCTAGGGGAAGTCATCTCTGGGAAATAAATCAAGGGGGATATCAGGTGCATTCAGTTTCTTGCTCATTTATTTAGTTGCCTCTCTGCTGAGACTAACAAAAGGTGTGATTGGATGATCTAGACACAGATCCCTTAGAAACAAACTAATAGCTATCAGATCCCAACCACTTTTGGTCACTCCCAACTACCAACTTAGAGGAAAGAGATTGTCTCTAATCCCTCAGACGTAACTGAACTAAGAATATGGAAATCATGGTACATAGGTCCCCACCACCTAAATTTATAGTAACACCTTTCAGTTACTAATGACCTGAGCTGGATTCAGACTGGCAACCTCAGGTAAAAGGCTCTATATTCCATCGCTGATCCTGAGTCTCTGTTGAATGTGCTTTGTTAAATGTAGCCAACTTATGTTTAGTCATATATATTCTGCATTCAATAGTAGATTAAATATAAATCCTAGAGCACAGCATTTGTAAAGCCTTTAATTGGGTCATACCTGGTATGCCACAGATCCTCTGTCTACTCTATTCTTAAGTCTAAATTCCATTTGTGAAAATTGTATTCAACAGACCTGCTCCCATGTATTTTACTGTAAATCTGGGATCTTGACAAGTAAAAAGCAACATATCTTAATTAAAATCTCCAAAATAGATAACACTAAGCCTCCCCTTCACTGGAGTGTCAACCCAGTCTAAAAACAAACACACACCGTCTCCAGCAATGGTCCATTACAAATGGTTGACAGATAAAAGGTGCCCTGCACCATGTTCAGAAGCTCAGCAAACTATCTTCTTTTAATCCTTTTCTGTCCCAATAAATGTTATCTTCATATAAATTGGAACCCTGATTTACTAGCAGCACGAACCCCTTTTCAGCTTGTCATATGCACAGCTAAAAAAATAAAATGTAAAGTTTATGGTATTACAATTTTAGGTAAGGACACTGAAGATACACAAGTGTATATAGGGATGAATAATTTTGAATAATTATTCAAAACTCTAGAGACAGTGGCTGGAAACTTAAGAAAGCAGGGCTGTGGTGGTTTAAGTTTTGCAGATCTCATGGTAGATTTCCAGTTCAGAGTAGGTATTCCTACAGCTGTTCCCTTGCATATATGTAATTTCAAAAGGGTCTTTCATTATACTAATTTACTAAGGGAGCCCTGAGACAATAGTGACACAGACTACTGTAAAACCATACCTGCTTGCTAGGAATTTGCTGCGCCACACATCACACTGTATAGACATCCGCTCTAACTGTTCAGACAGCTGAGATGTATTCCGGCCTAGGGCCTCATTTTCTAGGATCAACTGATTTTTCTCACGAGCCATGCGTTCAAAGTGATATTGCAGGTCATCCCCAACAGAAGCAATAAGTAACTTCTTCAGCTCTCGATTCACCTAGAATAGGCCAAGGGTAGAACAGCTAGCATCAGTCATATTTCTAATCAGTGTGCTTCTAGAAAGCACATTAGCTAACAAAGCTTCAGACTGATTTCCCAATATGTCAGGCTTTTGTATGGAATAATTACAAGACACTTTAAGAACTGCAACTAGGGCAGATACATGTCCTTTTGGGAATTTGAAGGCCAAGTGTTTTAAGCTTCATGTTTACTAAAGTGTTCAAGACATGCAACTTATTTGCTATAACTGTAATTGCTTAAATAAGCCTGTATAACTGATGTCTGAAAGCATAAGCACATTCATCTACTACAGAGAGAAGAATGCAGGCTTAATTTACAGGAGTAGTAGCCATTTCGATCTGCAGTTTATATTAGGTAGGACATCCACTCATCTGTGCCAGGGCATAACCCAACCACTAACTAAAAGGGGGTATGAAGAAACTTGCCCTATGGGTGATTTGATAGTTACCACTCTGGGGCTTCTTCCACCTTCCTCTGAAGCATCTGGTAGATGCATCAGGCCATTGTGTTAGAAAGGATACTAGACTAGGTAGACCACTGGTACTCTCTGTATAGCAATTTCTATGTTCAGTAGGGAAAAATTATTTTTGTAACTGAGTTTATGGTGTTGCTCTCTGCAGAGTACTTTATACAGTGCAGCAGGCCAATTTTTCTATATTTGCATGCTCCCGCTGTCTTTGTTAATGATATCAAAAAGACGCCCTTTGATTACATTTTTAAAATAATGAATGTTTCTGCTGTTTTAGACAGCAGAAACAAAATGTCGTGGGTTTTAGAGAACAAATGGTTGGAAGATAAAGCTAGACAAATTCAGAAAAAGGTGAATATTTTTGAGTGAGTAACTAACTGGTGGAACAATTTACCTAGGGAAGTGGTGGATTCTCCATTATTTGAAGTCTTTAAATCACAACTGGATATTTAAGTTTGCCAGATCTCATGGAAGATTTCCAGTTCAGAGTAGGGATTCCTACAGTTGTTCCCTTGCATACATGTAATTTCAAAAGGGTCTTTCATTATACTAATTTACTAAGGGAGCCCTAAGACAGTAGTGACACAGACTACTGTAAAAGCATACCTGCTTGCTAGGAATTTGCTGTGCCACATGATTAAGATATATTCTATAGCTCAAGAAGTTATGGGTTTGATGCAGAGATTACTTGGCAAGCTTCTCTGGCCTGCCTTGTGCGGAAGGTCAGGCTATACCATCATACTGGTCTCCTCAGGCTTCCCAAACAAAATATAGTTACAAATCTATCGTCACAAGAACCATCCTCAATGTCTTACCTCTGTCTGTACACGTAACTGGTTGGAAAGACCTTCTTTATCCTGTAGCAATCTCCTTTCTGAATTCTTGAGCTTTTCTACTGCATTTTTTAGATCCAACAGCTCTTTCTTGGGTTCTAGGACTCCATCTGACTGGCTGAAATCCTCTCCTTTATGGTGTCCCAGGGATTTAGACATCTTAGCATTTTTGGTAGGAACAACATGAGTTATAGCAGCTTTGGGAACCAGTATTCGAACAGCTTCAATCTCCACTGACTTATCACTATGTATTTTCCCGAGTTGGAGAACTCCGGGACTCAGGGAAGAGATAGCTTTCTTGTGTGGACTGTGATGGGCATGACGACTTGTATTGTGGGCTCCAGCAATTACTTCCACAGTTTTAGGTGGCTGCTCAGTTTCCATGCCATCTCCAGGTCCACGAATGCGTGACGAGGCACAGTCGGCTAATTTGGAGACAATGGGAAGATAATATATTTATTTTATTATGCCATTGGGAGTTACAGAAATTCAAAGAGCATGGCAACACAACTCTGGAAGGACCTTGGTTTTACAATGCAGCTGCAAAGCAGCATAGTGCTGGGGCACTGATTCAGTTAGGATTCAGAAGGGAAAAAGCGCACCTACTCATATCAGTAAGGTCAGTAATACAAAACCCCGCCATCTAGTTTCATTTATATTTACATGCACATTGCACAAACAAGACTATATAGATAAAAAGGTCAACAGCAGCCACTTTGCAAAAAATCTATATGAACTCACTACATTAGCCACTGAACTTTGAATTCAAAGCCAAGAGGATTTCACTCCTTCGCCGTTGAAAAGCATTAGATTGCTTCACAACAACTTTAAAGAGATACTGTCAATATAATACATTCACAAGTTTTTTTCCCCCTTAACTGTGTCTAGTAATAACTTAGTTGTAAATCTTGGAAAAATTTAGAAAAAAAAATTTACTTTTCACTATTTGTGCTGTTTTACTTCATTGTCTAAAGTGAGTGTGGGGGGAGAATGGAAAGAGGAATTAACTTATCACTTCCTGTTTCTCCCGTACTCCTCTCCCCCCAGTGCTGGCATGTTTGGGTTTCCAACACTGCAGAGCAATGTTTAATAAAAATTTCTGTTGATGCTGGATTTTATTGAATTGTACACAACCCTAAACTGGTTGTAAAATTTTCACTGTGTCAAACTTCCAGCCTAGAAAACAAGAACTTCAAGTACTGCCACACTGCAGAGACATGGAATGGTTGATCTTCAATGATCTTTTCCATTTCTAACGTGTATGATTCTAAATTGGTGAAAGATGCTTCAGGACACCGAAGACTGATGTTTGATCTTTATATCGTATGACCCAATTTATGTTGTCACACTTCAGAGGAACTGCACCCTCTCCCTTGTCCACCAAGGGCACCCACTTTTAGGCTTCCACCTCTCAAACATTACTTCCGTTGGGTGAAAACCTGTGTTTCTCTCCCTTCTGACCAAGGTTTTTCCAGGCTCACAGTTCTCTGCCTACACTATGGTATTCCCAGCAAGTCAGACCTGCCTAAGCAGGCCAGCATCTGTGCATTGCTTTCTCTCTGAAGGCTTATGAACAGTTTAATTGCCAGCAGTTAAAAGTTACCACACAGCCTTTTATGAGCAAGCACATTTATTCCTAGGATGAAAGCAATGCAGTAAAAAACAATGAGTTCCTGTATGCATGCTAAAAGCTTACTACACCTCTAGCGTGATATAACACGGTCCTCAGGAACCAAAAAATCTTACCGTCTTATAGGTGAGACCGTGTTATAGCGGGGTAGGGAGAGGAACCACTCCTCGCTGCAGCTCACCTCCACTCTGCCTCCGCCTCCTCCCCTGAGCGTGCGGCCGCTGCTCCGCTTCTCCCCCCTCCCTCTCTCCCTCCAAGGCTTGCTGCAAAACAGCTGTTTGGCATGGCAAGCCTGGGAGGGAGGGCAGGGGGAGAAGCGGAGCGACAGCACACTCATGGGAGGAGGCGGAGGTGAGTTGGGGCAGGGGGCACAGAGGAATCGCTTGCAGTAACACGAATTTGGATATAACGAGGTAAAGCAGCCCCGACCCTCAGAGTGCTGCTTTACTGTATTATATTGGACCGCGTTGTATCGGGGTAGAGGTGTAAGTCACCCATTTGTTTTATAGGGCCTCAGTTGGCCAAAGTCCTTCCAACCTTCCCAGGCCTCTCTTGGACAGAAGGTCCTGTCCATTTGCTGGATCAGAAAGAAGGCCCTGAGTCAGTTTAAACTCAGGCTATTTATCCATAGGACCTTTCTTTGTCTGTTGGTCTCTGGAGAATCCAGTTTGAACCAGCATATGTGAACCTCTCCAGGTGGTGGTATGTCTTTGGCAGTGTTACAACCTGAGTGAATTTGCCTAATAAACGCGCCCCCCCCAGCACCATACACCCCCCCCAGCACCATACACCCCCCTTCTTAATTCCTGGAGGAGCTGTGGTCACCTGCCCCCATGGAATTACATACAATCCTTGGCCCACAATGATACATAAATTTAATACAGTAAGATCTCCCAAAGATATTGCAGGAAATTGCCATATCTGTCACATATGTAAACCCAGAAATAACTCAAGAGCTCAGCTAATTAACAGATAATAGAGAAGAGCTTTTTAGAATTTAGTTTTTTTCAAGTCTAGTCAAAAAATCTTTTTGATAGAAAATTGATTTCTTGCTAATGTAAAACAATATCTGCAATAACTGAACCGGTATCCTTTGCCTCACACAGTTAGTAAAACAGGGTCTGTTGTGTTCTTCCTCTCCAATGCTAATCTTTCCCTGGTTATTAATGCCTGCCTAAACCAACACTGAGAAAAGGAGGGACTAAGAAAAAAAAAATCTTCAGAGAATAAAATTCTTAGGGATTTAGAGTATTCCCAGCAAACCATGTCCATTAAGGTGCAAAAGAGTTTGACTTCTTACCATTGTTGCACAATAGGCAGGTCCAAGAACAGACCATATATATTTTGCTGTGCCTCACCACTACAGTGTGACATAAGGACAGAGTAAGAATCCTTAATTTTGAATTTCCTAGTTTTTGCAGATTTAGGTACTTTGCCTGCAAATTGATTTATGCCAGCACAAAAGTCTACTTGTGCAGGTCTGTTTGCAGAAGTGGGGTCTTAATGCTTAATTCATTATTCTACTGTAATAAAAACAAGGGGGCCAAGTAAATGCTAGACACCTATCAGCTAGGAACTAGATGAAGATCATCATCTCAGGGCACCAAAAAGCCATCAAAGGCTAATAACTTTCCGTTGTTACTGCCCTGGCCTGATCTGAACTAGGGATTCAAAGGTAAAAGAAAACATTTCATTACCACTTCTACCCAGGCTCTTTACTGTATCTCTGCTTTTCACTGCAACAACAAAGATTCCCACAACCTTTCCCCCCTGAGATACACTATAACATCTAACATACACTGCAGCTCTGTTCTGTAATTAAACACCTCTAAAGTGAATACAGAATTACCAGAATGTAGATATTTTTGAGTAAAGGAAGAGCACTTACCTTTCTTCCCTAGAGATGTCATTTTTTTTCCTTTGGCTGATGCAGCTGTATGGGAGAGAGGACGACCAAATCTAAAAAAGTTAAACACTCAGGGTGAAACAATAATTAGTACTTTAAAATGTGCCTGCTAATTTTGCTGATGTTTCTTCGGAACTCTTTATTTTGTCCCTCTGTGACATGGAGCAGTAACTCCACTGATCTGCTCTTCTGGACAAGACCCGAGCGCTCTGTGTCTGGAAAGGCCTAGCACATTTTGGGAGCTATCACCCTCTCAATAACAGCAATAACCTGATGAGAAGGCCGCCCCTACGCTCAGTTATGAGGCAGGTTGTTTTTCTTTTTGACACTGTCTGCTCAGGAAGCCCCGCAGAGATGCGACAGGCACTGCCCGGGGGAGAGGGGTGGGGCCAGGCCTGGGCCAAAGTCCCCGCTCCCGGCAGCAGCCGGACACAGGCCGGTATGAGAGTTGCCAACCCTCCAGGTTTGGCCTGGAGTCGCCAAGCGGCAAAGATTTGTGTCACGTGATTGAGTCTCCCGGAACACCGGCCACCCCCGCCGGCACATCACGCCCACGCTCGACAGGCGGGGAACACCGGAGGGGAGGGGGCGCGCGAGGCCGAGCCCCCCAGGGGAGGGGGGGGAAGGAGGGGGCGTGTGGGGCTCTGGCAGCACTGAGGTCCTGGAGCCGTCCCCGCCGGTAACTGCGCCCCTCCCGCGGGGCCGCGAGTCCCGGGCCCAGAGCCGGGAACCCCCAGCGACGCCCCGGCCGGGCGGCGGGTTAAAAACAAGCCCCGCGCGCAGGGTCCCCGGCTGCGGCGTCACCCAGGGGCCGCTCGGACGACGTCGAGCCCGCGACACGCAGAGCAACCGGCCTGGCCCCGCCCTCCCCGCGAGGGTGCGTGACACACTCACCGGGCCGCCACGCGCCGGGTCTGCCTGTCAGCCCGCAGAGAGGGCTTGCTCGAGCCCCCTCCCCTCCGACACTTCCGCCACCTCTTCCGAGGCACTTCCGGGTTACGCGCGGGGGCGGGGCTTCGGTTGCCAGGAAGCGGCTTGGGCAGAGGAGGCGTCTCGCTGAGTTTACGCTGCAGGCAGCTGCACCCGAGGCCGGCAGCGGAGGGGACGGTACCATGGTGAGTGGGGGGCGCTGGCTCTTCTTGGGATGGACGTTACAACACCCCCCCTCCCTCGCTTCTTCCTGTAACCTGGACCGCCCCGACCCCATGGAGCGGAGGTGGGGGGTGGGGAGTCCTCTGCCCCTGCGGTCCCGCTCCGCTCCCTGGCACGGATGGGCTGGGCGGGGGGTGTCTCCGCTCTGGGGAGCGGCCGGGCCGCTTGTAACGGGGCGGCTGGTCAGCGCGTGCCCTGCGGCTCCCGGAGCGGCCGGTGGCTCTTCTCGTTTTTGGCGCATCCTCTCTTGTCGTAACGTCCAGCAGCGGCCCCGGCCCCGTGGTGCTAGGCGCTGTACAAACCCAATGCAGAAGGACGCGCTGGCTCCAGACCGCGGACCCTGTGGCCCAGCCCCTTTCTCCCTCTGGGCCTTGCAGCAGACGTGGGGTGAGGGGCCCCGGCGGGGTGTTGGCAGCAGAACTAGCCCACTGCAAACCACTCCCAGGGGGGGCATGTGGCTCGTGGGTGCTGGGCAGGCCCCACCCCGGTCTCCATCCTTCCACCACCTCGGGTGAATCAGGAGCCCTGGCATCAAGTCCTGTTTTGAGCTTTGGTTTACTACTTCTCAAGCATTCTCTTCCAAGGCAGAAGAGTCCTGTTGTGACATCTAGTGCATCTGCACTGGTAAAGTTAGTACCTGTAGTTCAACAATTGCCAGCCACCAGGCAGCTGTCCCTGCCTTAAGCTGCTGGCTTGGCATGGTAGTAAAAATGCTCCAGCCCTTTCTACAGCAGAGTTGATATTGTTGCTACAACTGTGGCTGCTGAATGTTTGGTGTCAGTTGCTCTAATATGAGCACTGATTTTCCTGGTGTTGACAAAGTAATTGAGGCCCAATTTTAGCCTTTAGAATGTAAGGTATGGGGTGTGCTACAAAATAAAGAAGAGGAAAAAGCAAGAAATAGTATGGAGTTAGTAGACCAATTTAATCCTGGTGTAACTCCACTGAGATCTGTTATTTGTATTGCTAATCCTGGATTTCATAGATTCCGAGGCCAGAAGGGACCATTGTGATCATCTGGTCAGACCTTCTGTATACCTTGCTCCGTGACCTTAGACAAAATTGCTTCCACTTCTGTGGCTTAATTTCTCCATTGGTCTTACTTCTCTACCTCCTAGGGATGTTGTGAGGCTTAATCTATTAGTGGTTATAAATTATGTTCAAACTGTCCAATAAATGGTGCTAGGAAATTGCAAAATATTATTGGGTACCTAAGTGGGTAAATTTCTTGGGGTTCCAGAGTAACAGCCGTGTTAGTCTGTATTTGCAAAAAGAAAAGGAGTACTTGTGGCACCTTAGAGACTAACCAATTTATTTGAGCATGAGCTTTCGTGAGCTACAGCAGACCTGTTGTTAATGCTTTATTGGTCTTTTAACGCAGGGCTGACCTTCAGCACAAGTAATTGGAGTTCTATACAGACTAGAAACTCGTGAGACAGTGCAAACCCCTCTCCAAGGTGGAGGCAATTAACGGATTAAAAAAAGAAACTATTGCACTTTGATTCCATTAGTGCCTGGCGCATGTTTAATAATTCAAACAAAACTATAAAATGCTTTTTGAGGGACTTTGATGAACAAGTGTCTGAAGATTATAAAATGCTGAATCTTACTGTCTAAAAAGGAACACAAGACTGATACTGATAAGACACTTTAGACCCAATTTTGTCCTCAAATATGTATGCAAAATTCCTATTTTTGTCAATGAGAGCTCTGTTTATGTATCTTAGGGCATAATTTGGCCTTTAAAGCCTACTTAAAACAGCTCCAGTTTCTCTTGTGGTCCCCCATCCTAGTCAGAAGCTTTGTTTATAAACTAAAATGCAGAACATAATGTAGGATCAGTTTTCCCCACTTCAGTATCAAAGTCATTGTCAATCTTTAAATAAATGGTTGAAATTCTATTGGGTCATCCCAGGAGAAACATGAATAAATAAATTGTCAGCAACAGTCCTGTTACATCAATCAACATAGAAACCCGCCCTTTTGTAGCAATCTGTAATTGTTATGACTGTGGTGTGCTTCCAAGCATCCCTTTATTTGTAAGGTGGAATCAGGTAGACACACATTGTTTTTAAGAAACATGGGTTTGTTTTTTTTTTGGTTTTTTTTTACTGTTTCCTGTAACAAAAGACCAGTTTCTCACTGCAGTCCATATTTGTTCCCAGAAGCAGAGTTACTCTGTTTACATCATAATGCTTATAAGCAAGGCCCTTGTATTATGTGCAACATTAGCCCTAGATTTTGTGTCAAGTTATGTGGGAGAACAGTACTGAATTCCGTGACAATGTTAACTGATTACAAAACAATTTTGTTAAATTGGGTGACTACTAAAATGAAGGAGTCATGGGGTAGGCAGTGGCAGAAGGAGACAGTGTGCTGTATAGGGGGACAAGGAGGAAAGAGGCTCCTAAGCAGTGCCAGTGCAGGGTTGTAGTCTTGTGAGTCTTAGAAGATGTACAGCGGGGGAGATGTCTGTCATGCTGAGCTCCTAAACTCTGTGGGAGAAGAGTTTAATAGCTATGCATCTGAGGAAGGTGCCTGCTGTGGTGAGCTCCTAATCCCTCTATGAGCAGAACTCCACTGTGTAGAAGGAGGGATGTTCTAATGAATAGGACACGGGACTAGTGGTTCAGTTCCCCGCTCAACCAGATTTCCTGTGCAACCTTGGGCCAAGGCACTTAATTTACTCTGTACCTCAGTTCCCCATCTATAAATTGGGGATAATGCTTGCCTACCTTGGTGGGGTGTTGAGGACAAAAAATCCATTAATGATTGTGTGGTGCTCAGATACTATCGTGATGAAGGCTGTATAAATAGGTAGAAGCTTATACAAGCCTCCCGCAACCCTTTCCAGGAGAATATTTAAATTCTTTCTGTCCCTCATAGTCCTGTATGTTACCAGCCACTCACATACATAGTCTCCTCCTGCAGTCGTCCTGAAATAGTGTGAGGACAAGCTAAGAAACTAGATGATGTGAAAATAGCCATTTTAAGAAAGTATCAGCATTATTTGAAATTCATGCAGTGTCTTAGCAGAAAGGTAAATTGAGTGGCAGTTGTACACCTTGTAACTCATTATACACCTGGTCCTGCTTAAAAAGTGAATGTTCTGTCTGAACATCAGAAGGATGTTAATAACGGCAACTTTCATTTAAAAACAGCTTGTTTCAAGAATATTGAATTAAAAATAAAATGCTCCTTCCTGTACGTTCAGATCTTATACTCTAAACCTAAATTCATCCTGAATGTAATTATTATATCCTGAAAATCTGATAGAAAGTCGGACAGACCCTTTACTACAGCATTGCTCCCAGACAGCAGTATAAACTAAGAATTATGATAGAGACAAGGTGAGTGAGGTTATATGTTTTATTGGACCAACTTCTGAAGAAGAGCTGTCTGTAAGCTCGAAAGCTTGTCTCTCATCAACAGAAGTTGGTCCAATAACAGACATTACCTCACCCACCTTGTCTCTCTAATATCCTGGGACCAGCATAACTGCAACAAAACTGTATATAGGAATTATGATGGCATTCATTAAAACATGTATAGAACTCCCTGAAGAGAAACTATTACAAATCACACTGTCGCTGTGGAACCATGAAAATTAAAATCTTAACTGAATCAGTTTCATACTGGTTTTATTTATGATGCAAAAATATTCAGAGTATATATTGGGCCCAGTGCTGCAGTCCTTTCTAGCAGTACATTAAGATTTGTGTCTTTATAAATTGTAGAATTGGGCCTATAATTTTGGTGTGAACAAAGGGAAGTGGAGGAGCTCTGAAATATTCTTTAAATACATACCTTTCTATGCTAATGCATTGGTTTAGAGATCAGCTAATATCAATAAACAGTTTGAAACATTGCCATCCAGTGGCAAAGAGAAGTAACTCAGTTACATTTGGGGATTTCATTGTCTACATGTGTGATCTGCACCTGTAGTAAATTGTACAGTGGTGAACACCCTAAAGGAATCGTCTTGTGTGTCAGCAGAAGGTTTGAGTATGGTGTTTGACTGTTTTTAATAGAAATTATACGTTTTGATATAATCTCACACAAGGATGGGTAGGAATATTAAATGCCTCTTAAAAATATAAATGTCTTTTTAACAATGTCTCTGTCACACTGTGTGAATCTAGAAAGCAAATCCAGATGCAGTAGCATGCCATTCAGTAGGAGCAATTGGTTTACTCCCTGATCCTGCAAGTGACTTGTGACACAGTCTTTTGACATCAATGGACCTATTGTTGGGTGCAGTAGTTTGCTTGCATGCAGTCACTTGGAGGACTGGGGCCTTCATTTTTTTTACTCCTTAAAATAATAGTTCTTAGTGCTTGTCAGTTTCAAAGTTCATTGCAAACAATCTTTGCAACACTCAGGTGGGCAGATATTATCCCCATTTGATAAATGAGGAAACTGAGGTACACAGAGGCAAAGTGACTTGTCCAGTAGTACACAGCAAGCCCTCCATCCTGTTAACACTTACTCACAGGCTTAATATTAAGCCTATGAGTAGTCTCATTAAGTTCAATGGAAGTTGGGTGCCAGCTTCCTCAGGTTCCTTTGAATATCACAACCTGGTTCTATATGACATAAAGCACAGAGATGTCAGAGTTTACTGTCTTGTCATTCTGATTATCATCTTGTTTTTTTTTTTTTTTTTTTTTACTCTTGTAGTTCTGACTTGATTTTAACTGCAGTGATCTTGAAAATTTCTTAAGCTAGATGTCAATGTGTTACAGCAACAGTAAACTTGGAATTCCAGCTGTTGCAGAAGTCTCCAGATGGTGTAAATTGACATAGCTCTACTGAGGATCTGGCCATTTGTTTGCATCTTTAAAAGCAATCAAGATTATTTGCATCCTACAGAACCTGTAAAAACTCTTTGTATGACAAGGGCCAGCTTTTCTATAATAGACTTTACTCAACATTGTTCTCAGCTCTGTGTGCTTTTGTTGTG